GATGAAGAGAGAGAGAGAGAGAGAGAGAGAGAGAGAGAGAGAGAGAGAGAGAGAGAGAGAGAGAGAGAGAGAAGAAAAGAGAAAAGAAGAGGAGAGAGAGAGAGATGGGGGGAAAGAGAGAGAGAAGAAGAGAAGAGGAGAGGAGAAAGGGGAGAGAGAGAGAGAGAAAATAAGATAGAACAATATCAAGAGACAGAGAAACAAAGAGAGATAAAGGCAGAGAGACTGATACTTGGATAGAGACAGAGACATAGACCATTTTGAGCGGACACGGAAGAGGGTGCTTTGAATTAAAACTTAAAGATAAGGTAGCCCCAGACAGTGGAAGGCCTTGGATGTTAGGCCCTATGCTATTGTGGAAGAGACAGAGCTGGTAAGACACAGCCCTTGCCTACAAGAAGCTTATGCTCTAGTTGGGAAGATAAGTTCTACATATGAAAGGATTGCCAACTGTGCCAGGCCACATGTGCTAAGGGATCACAGAAAAGCAGGGGACTTGTAAAGGCTATCTAGTCTCAGTGTTTCACTTTACAGGTGAGAAAACTGAGGCCCAGAGAGATGAAATGACTGTGCCCAAGGGCCCACAGGTGGTCAAGCAGAGCTCAGAGTTGAACCCAAGTCTTCTAACTCCAAGATTAGAGTTTTTTCCTCTGCACCATGGTGGGCCTCAGTTTCCTCATCTAGTAAACAAGAGAGTTAGAATAGATGCTTCCTAAGGTCTCTGCCAGCCCTGACTCCTAGAAGCTTATGAAATACAAGAAAGGCACCATAGAAATCCACTAGTTGTTTTCCATCTACCTACAATGCCGTGTACACAGCAGGGGCTTAATAAATGTAAATTAAATAAAAATGAATTGCCTTGCCTTGCACCACTCTGCAGTCAGGCACCTCCAGATGTCCTAACAGCACAACTTCCCATGAATGAGTGGCAGAATGGAAAGAATGCAGGGTGTAGAGTCAGTGTTCAAATCCCAGCTCTGCCATTTACTAGCTAGGTGATCTTGGGCAAGTCACTTTACTCTCCGGGCCTCGTTTTCCTGATTTGTAAAATGAAGGGATAAGATGAGATGATCTAGAGGACCCCTTCCATCTCTAAGGTTATGGTTCTAAGTAGAATGTAGAGAAGAGGTGGCTGGGCTTAGCAAAGGCTGCCCAGACATTCCTTACCCATTTCTAAGGCTTATGCTAATCTGCAGGGTTGAGAAATCCCAAGGGACTCAGGTTGTTGTGGGGGAAGCACTTTGCAATCTTGAAAGCATCACAGAAATGTGAATTATTAATGTTATTAATATCTCTTTAACACTAAAATCCCCTGTGGGAAAGGGTATGGGCAATCTCTTAGCACTACAGCTAAGTGGCTAGCTTTCAAGGTCTAAATGCAGAGAATTCAGAGCAAGGGAATCCCAAGTCACATTATCCTCTGCCCTGGTCTGCCCACTTCTACAAGACATTCATTTCTGGGTGAACAGCTCAGGAAAGCCATTGATAGGAGAGTGCCCAAAGGAGGGAATTGCCATGGGGAAGGGGATTGGTTGAAGGAGCTGGAGAAGAGAAAACTTAGGGGAAGTGTTTGAAGGGGTATCAGGTGAGGTAAGAGTATGGTGTCAATCAGTCCAAAACACTTATTAAGCACCTACTGTGTGTTTAGGTGCTGTGCTAGTACTGGAAAAGACCACTTTCAGCAGAAAGATCACTGAGCTTGGAGAACTAAGACCTGAATTCAAATCTTGGCTCTGCAAATGACTATTTATACAACCTTGGACAAATCACTCAGCCTCTCTGTACCTCAGTTTCCTGATTTGTAAAATGAATAAGGAAGTACTTGATGGTCTCTAGTTCCAAGTGTATGGCCTTCTGAAGAAGGATCAGATTTGTTCTAATTGTCCCTAGACAGCAGTATTATGGACAGTGGGAAAAGTTTTAGAGAAAAAATTTAGTTCAATGGAAGGAAACATTTCCTAATAACTAGAACCAGGGATGTGTTTGGTAAACGTTTAACAATCAGCTGAGACATATGCATGATACTTATAAGTCTAATCTGCATGATTGATATTTCCTCCATTATTTTCTCATCTAGACAATTAGTAAAACAATAAATCAAGGGGCAGCTGAGTGGCACAGTGGATAAAGCCCTGGAGTCAGGAGGACCTGAGTTCAAATCCAGCCTTAGAAATGTGTTAACTGTGTTACCCTGGGCAAGTCACCTCACCTCCAAATAACTAAATAGATACATCAAGCCCTGATTTATAGAATTTGCTGATTCCTGAGATGTGAACACTCACACTGAAAATTTAACAAGTGACTCTCTGGAACCAGTACAATCAGATTCCAGTACACCCCTGAACTCAAAAGTGGAAAGGGTGGCCTTGGGAGGTCAGTCAGTAGGGCTGGATGAACGCTTGACAAGAATGTTGGGAAGAGGATTCTTGTCAGGTACGTATTGGATTAGTTGGTCTCTGAGGTTCCCTTTAACTCTGAGATTCTCTGGTTCTATGGTGTGTGATCTGGAGAAGAGAAAACCCATGATGACCCAAGATCAATAGGTTTAAACATACTAGGACTCCAACACAGATAGCTATGATACACAACATTTCATACCTGGATTCCAGATCTGGATTTGGAAGGGGCCTCAGGGACCATCTGGTCCTACCTGCTAAAGGGCTATGTGACAGACAAGAACATTATTGACTATAGAGATCAGGGAAGGCTTCCTGGCAGAGGGACATTTAACTAGGCTTAAAAGGATGAACACAGTTGGGAAGGTCTGCCTTGAACATATCCCGGTTGTGCAACTCTGAGCAAGCCACTTCATCTCATAATTTCCCAGCACTCTCTCCAACTCTAAAGAGCAGAGAAGGGGCGCCAACCTGGGTAGGTAGAACTTCCTCTAAGGGGGCTCCTTATGCCAGTTGAATCATAAATCTAGTCCCATGGAATCTGAGACTCAGGAGGGAACTTGGAGGGCATCAGTGCAACAAGAGTCCCTAGCCAAAGTTCATTTAGGGAACACTGGAAGACGTCCAGTGACACGGAGCCCACTACCTCTTGGGACAGCTCCTTCCATCGTGGGCAGCTCAAAGTCTTTCATTACGCAGAGTTGAAATTTGGCTTCCTGTAACTTCTTGCCCTCTGGGGCCAACCAGAACACATCTAATCTGTCTTCCCTGTGACTGCCCTTTAAATATTTAAAGACATCGATTCCTTTCCAGGTTAAACATCAAAGAATGTAAGTATAGTAAGGTAGCCTGAGGTCAGCCCCCAAAAGAACAGGCATTTCTTTACAGCACCTCTGACAAGTGGCCAGTTGACCTTTTCTTAAAGACTTACGGGAAAGTGGAGCTCACTATCTCCCAAAGCAATCAATTCTTCTTTGGGTTGGCTCTAATTGTAAGGCAGGTTTTCCCTCCAGTCAACAGGAATCAGCCACTCTGCCACATCCATCCATGGATACTCGATCGATCTTATATCTGCCTTCCTTCCTTCTGCCAGCCTTTCACCACCCTGATGATCCATGTCCTTGTTTGCTTCAGCTTGTCAGTGAGGCTCCCCCAGTGTGGTACCCCCAAACTGGAAACTGTTCCTGATGGGGTCTGGCCAGGGCTGAGGCCAGTGAGAGACTGGCTTTCCTGCCTCTGGCCTCTGTGATTCTCTGAATGAAACCTAATGGCAAATTAACTTTGGGGAACTTGTCTAACATATGCTTTTACAGAGAGAGGGGAAACTCTGCCCAGTGACTTGGTCTTAGGGGGATAGGTGAGGTTCAAGGGACTATGTGAAGTCTAAAGGATAAGATCCTTGCTGACCATGGAGATCAAGGAAAGCTTCCTGGAGGAGGTGGCATTTTAGGTGAGCTTCAGAAGATGGGTAGAGTTGAAAGACTTGGACTCTGATAGGGCTGCCTTTGATAGGAATCCCTCAGTCTCCCCCCCCCCCAAATTGGGCTCAACAAGATCATAAATTTAGAAGTAGAAAGAATCTTAGAGATCATCAAGTCCAACCTCCTCATTTTATAGAGAAAGAAACTGAGGCACAGGTAGGTTAAGTGACTTGCCCAAGGTCACACAGCTAGTAAGTGTCTGAGGTGATCTACCTGACTCCACATCCAAAGCCATAGTCATTACACCATGCTGGCCCTTGAATGTTGATGGAAGACATTCCATGCTGTGTATGCCTCAGCCTCCAGGCTTGGCTCCTTCATTGCCCTTGCTCAGTGATATCACAGTCTTCATAACTTCCCTGTACCTCAGTATTCCCCTCTGTCTGATGGGTAGGACCATGAACCCTGTCTGTCTGGATCTAGGTTGAATAAGAGAGGGAGAACACTTCTCTCCATTTTGACCAAGCCAAGAAATGACATGGGGTAGTGCTAAGGACATTGGATTTGGAGTAGAGGAGCTTAGATTTAAATCTCAGCTCTTGTCACAGTTCTAGACCTGGAAAGGTCCTTCAGGGTCATTGAGTCCGACCTCCTCATTTTACAGAGGAGGAAACTGAGTCACAAAAGTGATCCTAGATTTAGAGTTGGAAGAGATACATAACTCAGAGGTTATCTAGTCCAACTCCATTTTACAAATGGGGAAACTGAGGCCCAGAGAAGTTAGGTGACAATACCCATATGAATAGAGATGGAAGGGGCCCTGAAAGTCACCTAGTCCAATACTACCATTTTACAAATATGAAGACTGAGGTCCAGGGGGAAGTCATTTGACCACAGTCATGCGGAGCCAAGTTTTGAACCCAGGTTTCTTGACTCTAGAGCTGGTGTTCTTTCAATTGTACCACATTAACTTCCCTTTGCTGTGTGTCTTCAGCTATGTCACTTCCCCTCTCTGGGCTTCGATTTCCTCCCCTGTAAAATGAGGGAGTTAATCTATTCCAGTTCTTGATCCTGCAACCTGCTCTTACCTGGGACTCAATCTTTCCTTTCGAAATTGACATTTTCAATGCTCAACAGCCAGTGAGTACATATTTCTTCATTTCTTCTTCTGTTTAAATTGAAGATTTGACAACTACTCAGCCAATGTGATGGTTGACAGCAAGCCAGTGAACCTGGGGCTGTGGGATACAGCTGGACAAGAAGACTATGACCGTCTTCGGCCTCTTTCCTATCCCCAAACAGTAAGTTCTACCTGCCTCTCTTCCCAGGTACCCTACCTCCCCCCCCCCAGATCCTTCTTCCTGTTTTGTTTCCCTCACTGTTGCTCAGCATTGGAATGGAGAAGGTGAATTAGCAGCAAGTGGGCTCCTCTGCCTTCCCTTCTCTCATGAGTAGCTGGCAGGGTTGCCTTCAACAGGAATCTTTCAGTCTCTTCCCAAAGGGCTGGATAGCTCAGGGGTGCTGATGAGAAATCTGAGGAGCTTGGTCCTTGATGTAAAGAATATTAACTCCAGTCCAGGCACAGGAGGCCCCCTGGTGCATGACTTGGAAGTTTTCTTCTGGAGTGAGAAGGCAGGAAATGTGATGGCATCAGCCTGGCTTTTTACCTTGGAATTCCTCAGACTAGCAGACCTTTATGTTTGCCAGGAAGCCATGGCTGATAACATATGAAATAGTGCAGTCTCAAGAGACCAAATTACCCTTTGGTCTTCAGAGCCCCTCTCTCCCTTCAAGATAAAAATGGCATACATGAGGGATGGTAAGTGAATAAAATACAATGGGTGAGCGGTGAAAGAATGGATGCTGGGTAAAGAGTGAATTGTTGAAAGGTAAAGGATGGTGTGTGAAAAATGAACAGTGAATGGTGGCTGATGGGTAGATAGTAGGTGATAGGTTAAGGAAAGTTGGTGGTTGGATGGTGAATGATTGGTAAAGGTTGAACGGTAAATGATTGCTGATAAGTAAAGGGTGAATTGTGGAGGAATGGTGGCTTATGGGTAGTTGGTGAGTGACAGGTGAAAGAAAATTGGTGAGTGGATGGTGGATGAATGGTAAATGGTGGCTGATAGGTGAAGAGTGGATGGTAGGATAATAGCGAATGATAGGTAGATGGTGAGAAGAGATTGACGAGTTGATGGTGGCTGATGGGTGAAGAGTAGATGCTAAATGAATGGTGGCTGGTGTGTAAAGGGAGATTTGAGTATGGATGATGGATAATAAGTAAATGGAAGATGGTGAATGAGTGGTGGATGGTGGTGAAGAATGGTAGATGGGTAGACTGTGGATGATGGATGAATGGTAAATGATAGGTAGATGGTAACTGATAGGTAAAGAGTGAACTAGAGATAAAAGTAGATGGGTAAAAGATAGAAAGTGGATGAATGGTGAATAGCAGCTGATGCAGAGATTATGGGTGATGGGTGAAGTCAGGATAGTGGATAATGGATGAAGGGAGCATGATGTGTGAGTGGTGAATGGTTGGTCATAGGTAAAGTATAGATGGGGGATAAATGGACCAGCCAGACTGTTTTATTGGCTGTTCTCTGTACATGACATTCACTCCTACAGCCTTTAAACAGGCTGTCTGTCCCCCCATGCCAGGAGTCTTCTTTCCCTCTTGACTTCCACCAGTTGAAATCCAGATTTCCCAGTTGTCAGCTCTTTTTTCTCTTGCCCCCTCCTAATACTTCATATGTATTTGGTCCATATCTTCTGTTTATTTCTCTATGAACCAAGTGCATTCCCCCGGTAGTATGTAAGCTCTTTAAAGGTAGGAATTCTTTCTCTTTGTATCCTCAGTCCCCATCATGGTGTCTGGCACCTAGTAGGTGTTTAATCAATGCTTATTGATGGATTCCTTTGAGGTGGTTGAATAGTAGATGGCTCATAATGGTTGAAGGGTGGGTGTTAAGTAAATGGAAGATGTTAAGTAAAAGGTGGGTACAGAGCATTAACCAGCCAATGTCATTCCTCTCTTCCTTGGTATAGATTCAGACTCCCTCAACCTTCCCCTGAGCTGTTCCATCTATCCATGAAAGTCCGAGTACATGTCCTGAGGGAATGTGAGGGATGGACACCTTGTTCCTAGTTCGGCCTCCCACTTTGCTGATTTGTACCCTTCCTCTCCTCTCTTCTCAGGATGTCTTCCTGATCTGTTTCTCCCTTGTGAGCCCAGCCTCATATGAGAATGTTCGTGCAAAGGTGAGTGAGTCCTTGGGACACCCAGCAAAAGGGGAATGGCAGCTTTGGGGCAGGGGCACAGGGCAGCCCCATCAGCCTCCCTGCTAAGGGCAGCTTTGAATGGTGGTGACTATGATGGGTGACCAATTGTGGTTGATGGGGGAAGAGTACCCCAGGAGGGATATTTTGCTTCCCTGCCCTACTCCCTCCCAACTTTGTGACTCTTCTCCCTCTCTGCTGGCCCTTTCCCTGCTCAGTGGTACCCTGAGGTTCGGCATCATTGCCCCAGCACCCCCATCATCCTGGTGGGCACCAAATTGGATCTTCGTGATGACAAGGACACCATCGAGAAGCTGAAGGAGAAGAAGCTAACACCCATCACATATCCACAGGGCCTTGCCCTCGCCAAGGAAATAGGTAAGAGTTCTGTGACCAGGCAGTGGAGATCTAGGACACAGATCATCATCTTTGGCTTTGTATCTCTAGTGCCTAGCACTTTCTGCCTCCCTAGAGGCAGCTGGGCCTGCAGTTAGGAAGACCTCAGTTCAAATATGACCCCAATCACTTACTAGCTGTATGACCCTGGGAAAATCACTTAACCTATGTTTGCTTTAGTGTTTTCAACTGTAGAATAGGGATGATTATGGCACCTATGTAGCAAGCTCGTTATAGGGATCAAATGAGCTAATATCTGTAAAAACTGCTTAGCACAGTGCTGGGAACGTAGTAGATACTATATAAACATTTATTCCTTCCCTTCCATCTGGAGGATAGGAAAGGCAGGAGGGAGAGGAGGGGATCTTCCCATACTGGGGAAAGCCTCTTTCTTGGTTTCAGACAATGGCTGGCAGGGTGGGTGAAGATCATAGATTCAGAGGTGGTCCTACTGAAAAGAAGAGCAGCTCTTTCTAACACCCAGGGACAGCCACGGTGGGTTCTCTCTCAATAAGCACCATCCAACAGTCAGTCAATAAATATTTATTAAGCACTTTTTCTTTAAGCATTATACTAAGTGCTAGGGATACAAAGAAAGGCAAAACCATAGTCCTTGCCCTCTAATAGCTTACAGTCTAATGGAAGAGATAATATCCAAATAGCTATGTTGATAAAAGATAGATGCAGCATAAATGGGCAGTCATCTCAGAGGGAAGGCACTAGTTGGGACAGAGAGGTTAACCTCCTGTTCGGAATGTTGGAGAAGAGGGGTTTTATTCAATGAAAGGGTTCGACCACATGGCCTGTGAGGTCACTTTCCGATTTGGATTCTATGATTCTCGGGTTCTGTCTTGCCTTCTCTTTTTGCTCGAGTCTCTCCTGTATGAATGAATAAAATATTGACTAAGCGCTGTGCCCAACACTATGCTAAGCACTGAAGATATAAATAGAAAAAGTGAGACACTCCTTGTCCTCGAAGAGCTCACACTCTAATTGGGGTAGATAACACATTAAAAAAAAAAAGTTCAGTAACTATGAATCTGGAGGGAGTAAAAGCAGGGTAGATGGGAAGGCCCTTAGAATACAGTGGCTGATGGTAAGGCCTAGTGGTCTGCCATCTCATTAGAGGAATAGAGTTGGTGACTCACACTCACCCAGGTCTTTGGAGCAGTGAAGTGGCTCAGATGGGTTCTGGGTTGTCTGGGACTGGGGAGGAGGTATAGGGAAGGTACCCCATTTGTGGTGGGTCATCCCGCTGCCCAGTCTTACTGCTTGGAGTCTGGGCAGCTTAGGCAGAGAGAGAGCATTGGGGGAATAAAATGGGGAGAGTGCCCCTGTGGTCATGGGGTGGGATGAGAACACTTTTTTCCTCTGTCTAACCCTGATTTATCTTTAGATTCCCCCAATTCTTCTTTATCTCCCAGCTCTAGGATGTGCCCTCTTACCTGTTCCTCTCTGTCTGGAGAAAGACATGGTAGAAAGAGCCCTGGATTTAGAGTTAGAGGATCAGGGTTCAAATTCTGGCTTAGACACTTATTAACTGTATGACCGTGGACAAGTATTTCCCTGTCTGAGCCTCAGAATCCTCCACTGTAAAATGTGGGAGTTAAACTTGAAGGCTCCTAAGTTACCTTCCTCCCCTAAGTTCCATGGGCTCTGAGATTGGGAGACTCCCCAAACACTAGGGCCATTTGTTTATTGGCCTGGGGGGTGCACCCTTCAGAGCTTATTTCTATAGACCTAGAGGTGGTGAGTGGGGTGAGAGCAGGCAGGTCTCGATCTTCTACCAAGTTTTCTCTGCGACCTTAGTTTTATCCAAGTTGTGGATTTCTATCAATCTCTCAGATAAAGACATAGATGGTGTCCGTCCTTTGGTCAATGACCCAAAGGTTGGAGGGATGACTAACTTGTTGGAGAGCAGACTTGGGAGCCTGAAAGGCCTCAGATAGAGCTCTGGCATAAATCTAACAATACTATGGATCTGGCATTTCACATTCTTACACTGCTGTGAAGAATTCCCTTGCCAAGGGGATCACCCCCCTGCTCTGCAACTAATAGGCTTACTACCTTGATTATGATGAAATTTGACAGAGATCAATGAAAAGTCTGACACAGTTTTAATTTTTTTTTTTTACAAGAGAAAGATGGTAGAGGCATGGCTAGATAGCACGTGATCTAAAAAAAGGAGCTGGAGGTATTTCTAAGCTGCAAGCTTAATCAGTGGGTCAACAAACATTTATTAAGCATCTACTATATGCCAAGTATTATTCTTAGGATACAGAGACTAAAAACAAAAAACAAAACCCAGTCCCTGAATTCTGTGTTTGTAATCCATAAGGGGAAACATACTCATATTAATAAATTAGGATAGTATCAGAAAATCTAGTATCATATCATATCATATAATCCAAAATTTAACCTAACCTATCCTATTATATAACATTACATAATGTGGTAAAATATATAAGATTATAAACATAATACATGCTATTTATATGATATGATGCAATGTGATAGAATTCCACAGAATGCAAGATGATACAATATAATGTAATATAATAAAATATAATAATACAACACAAGACATAGTAAAATATTATATGATAAGATATAATCCAGTAGATGATACAATAGAATGTGGTAGAACATGACCTAATATAACATAACATAACATAATATAACATGAAATGACATGACATGACATGACATGACGTGACATAACATGCATACCCAGTTTTAGTAGTCCGTGCTGTGATATGGCAGCCTCCAAAGCTAACGCAGGCTCATGCTGCCTCAGCAAGGCAGAGCACTCAGGACTAGGGAGTCATGCTTTGGCTGCCATATCTAAAATACTGAGCTCATTGTGGGCGTCACATTTTAGGAAGGATATGGACAAGCTGGGAGGGGCGGGATGGCCAAGGAGGGGTATAGGGCCCTGAAAGCCTGCCGTCTGAGTACCAGATGAAGGAGCTGGGGATGTTTATCCTGGAGAAGATTCAGGGGAGACATAATTGTTATAAATTCAAATGTCCATAGGGCTGGTATCATGTAGAAGAGCAACGAACCTTGCTCTTCTTGCTCTCGGAGGACAGAGCTGGCAGCTGCAGAGAGGAGCATTTCAGCTTGAGGCAGGAAAATATTCCTAAGAAAAACTGTCCCAGTGTGGAACGGGGGCCATGGAAGGCAGTGTGCCAGCTCTCTGAGCTCCCTTTCAGGGGATGCTCGAGAGGAAAGGTTGGGCGATGACTTGGGAAGATGGGAGAGGGATTTCTTATCTCAGACTAGTCAAGAATTAGATGCTCCTGGAGGCCTTTTCAGTTCTAAGATTCCATGATTCTGCCTGGGCATGGTGGGTAACAGTCTGGCCTGCTTATACCACCACTACCACCACCATCACCACTACCACCACCACCACTACTACTACCACCACTACCACCAGCACCACCACTACCACCACCACCACCACTACCACCACTACCACTATTACTACTACTACTACTACTACTACTACTACTACTACTACTACTACTACTACTACCACTACCACTGCCACTGCTATCACTACCACTACTACTAGCCGAGGCAGCATGGGGCCCTGGAGCCAGAAAGATCTGGGTTCAAGTGTTGCCTCTGATATACACTGGCTGTGTGACATGCTGTCTTCAGTGCCCCATGTAATCCTCTAAGACTATATAGGATGGAACAGGTGCTAGACCCATTGGTGAAAGTGCTTTCCTTACTGGGAGCTCCCTGCCCAGTTCCAATAAAAAGCCCTCAAAGCTGACAAGACTATGGATCTGGCATTTCACATCCTTATGCTACTGTGAAGAATTTCCTCGCCAATAGGGATCACCCCCTGCTCTGCAACTAATAGGCTTACTTCCTTGATTATGATGAAATTTGACAGAGATCAATGAAAAGTCTGACACAGATTTAAATTTTTTTTACAAGAGCAAGATGGTAGAGGCATGGCTAGATAGCAGGTGATCTAAAAAAAAAAAGAGCTGGAAGTATTCCTGAGCTGCAAGCTTAATGAACGGGTCAACAAACATTTATTAAGCATCTGCTATATGCCAAGTATTATGCTTAGGATACAGAGACTAAAAACACAAAACAAAATTGGGCATGGTGGGTAACAGTCTGGCTTGCTTCTAGTACCACCACCACCACCACCACCACCATTACTACTACTACTATCAGCACCGCTGAGAGCTCCCTGCCCAGTTCTAATCAAAAGCCCTCAAAGCTGACATTTATTAATTGCTATGAGAGCCTTTAAAATATTGGAGCCTCACAACTAACTCTGAGGTATGTTATAACAGATGTAATCTATCAGCCCCATTTTCTAGGTCAAGAAACTGAGGCGTGGAATGGCTTAGTGACTGGCTTTGGTCCAAGGCCACAGAGTAAGTGGCAGAGTCTGGTTTGGACCCAGGCTTGTGCCCCAAGCCTGGCAGGGCCCTTTGCACTCTCAAAGGCCAATTCAAGGGGAAGTCTGGCCCTACCCTCAGATGCTCTGGCTCTCTGTTCCCCTTGGGTTCAGACACCCTGCCTGTTGACATTTTATACCCTTGTGGCCACACAGAAGCCCTGACCTCCCTACCCCCACTCTTTCAGCCTCTCTCTGACTTCATCATCTCCTTCTTCCGGCCGGAATTGGGAGGGCTCTTGGAGGGGGAGGCCTCCACATCTCTTCTGTCTTTAACAGGAAAAGAGACCGCAACTTCCTGTTCTGTTCCCCTCATGACTAGCTTATTTTCGGGGCTCAGCCCCGGCCCATCTACCACCGGGCCTCGCTCCTGCTGCCAGTCCCTTTCCTCCTCTTCCTCCTGTATATTAAGGTGCTCCTCACAGCCCTGCCATGCCCACGACGTGGCCTGGTCACTGCTGATTCTCCTCCCTGGGTTCCACCAGCCCATCTGACTGATAGCTGCCTCAGGGAAATGGCAGAGGCAGGAAGGGTGGAAGGGAGAGTCGGGGAG